CGGTTGCTCGCGGCCATTTTACGTTTCAATCGTCGTAATCAGGGAGATTAGATCTTTCAGAAGAGTATCAGCATATCCAAACTATATTAGTGATCAAGATTCGGAGCAGGAAGGCAAGTTTGTGTCTCATCTCAGCCGACAACTTGTATCGACGTGGTAACATAGTATCGCTGATGCCTCCACCGGTGGTGGCGTTCGCTCTCGGCAGTCTAGGGTTCCTCACACCACACTCTTTCGAAAAGTAAGCTCCCTTCTTTGCCTTAATAAACGCATCCTTCCGGACCACTCGGGTGAGTGCGGTGTTGTGTTGCGCACGTTCAGTGTCAGGCGACGATCTTCATCACAAACCTTTGTATTGGTAGGAGTTTTATCCTTTTCCCTGATGCAGGTATCGAGAGCTCCTTAACAAGGTCTTTGACGCACCAGTAGAGGATGTACTCAAGGCGAATGATGAGGAAAAATCAAAGGTGAGGGGGACTATACCGGGACTTAATATGTGATCACAATTTCATTCACTACTTTTCCCCGATATATGGTGGGGATACCCTATATACAGTTAGACAGTGGACCAGCGCGATCGGGCTTGTCGGGTATCTAACTGAATCCTTCACACTTGAGTGAAATCGATGGCGACAGCACGAGCCGATCCCATGCGGTCTAGATGGCCACCATATAACCTAGTGCACAATATAGAGTATGGAGCGCGTTATTCACCAAACTAACCTCACTGCCTGAATCAGATCAATCTACTCCTGTGAATGAGGCGAAGTTCTGTGTTGTAGTAGAAGGCAGTGTACCTCCGTCGAGCTGATTGCGAGTTTCACAATGCGAGACTGCAGAATAATCCATCCCAAAACTCCATAATAATTCGCTATCTCTAGCCGAAGTTTCTTTGTTATGCATCAAAGACTAATGATCCGTCGGTCCGATGGTCGAATCGAGGAGTGATAGCATGATGAGATGCTTTGTGTTCCGTAGTGTCTTGCTATGCTCACCATTGTTCAGGTTTTCTGTACGATGAGGTCAAGGTTGAGGTGCGAAGTGATAAGCAAGGTGAAGAAGAGTACGGATGACTCGCCGATGGACGCGTCACACACGACCGCTGGAGGTGTGGAGGAAGAAGAGATCATATTGCAGCAGCATGTCCTCAATGAATGCGTTATTGCGAGGTGAGGAGCATGCGCCCTGGTGATCGATTTGGCGAGTGTACGGGTTTCAGGGGTGCTAAGGCTGCTCTTCAGCGGTTTGATTTTATTGTTGACGGTAAATACGTCACTCAATTCCAAGGCGATGGACTCATCATTTGCACACCCAGTGGGTCAAGTGCCTACAGTATGGCCGCTGGAGGATCTCTAGTGAGTCTATGATGCCGTTGAATGATGCTCAATCTACATGAGATATCTTCGCTCTGTCGTGTGTTGATCTCGTAGGGAGATTGTGTGGGTGGTTCTTGGTGCCCTAGCGGGGATCTGCAATATCTCTTCTTAGGTGGCACCGAATGTTCCTTGTATTATGGTAACTCCGATTGCGCCGCATGGATTGAACCAGAGACCCTTGGTGCTGCCAGCTAGCGCCTCGATTGAAGTAAGTCCAACACGAGTACTCATGGTACTGGCCTCCATGCTACTTTTTATGGGCGACACGATCCGGAAAGATAGATTCGTCTCTTCATGCCACTCAGCTCAGTTGTTGGTATTGTTCAGATAGTAATTCCTCGTAGTACCCGGAGTCTGCCGGTGGCCTGTTTTGATGGAGCTATCGAGATAGGTTTAGATCGAGGGCAACGAGTGCGGATCACAACGAGTAAGGTATCTCTCCTTATCTTCCTCGTATCGTCACGCATTGATGTTGGCTAGCGTGCTACATCCACCACAATATAGTGATGAAATTTTTATTGATGTAATGATGACCGTTGATAGTCAGTATCGTTTCGTGCTGAGAGGATTGGTCGAACGAGTGCGCTAGCGAAATTTCATCACTGTATTTGACAGTAATCAAATCACTGTCAAGTAAATCATGTGCGGAATAAATATAAACTCGCGGCGCGCGAGAATTGAGCCGAACCACTAGATTTCAAGAGAGAACGACTCTCTTGGCAGCATCCTGTGATGTGAGTATTTCGTAACAGAGCACATTGGCGAGGTTTGTGTTGCTCCATCATCAGGTATGTCACCGGTTCCCTTCGTATCATATTCGCAACATCTTGTCGATTGGTTCCACAGTTTGACGAGTAAACTACACTGGGCTAAACAATTGCGGTAATCATAACACATTTCTCGCCCAGCCTGACAAGTTTAGTGTTATCCCATCATGGCCGAGGGCTTCGACATTGCCGCCCATCATAGCTCGTTCAATCTTCGACGTTCCGTGATATAACGCGAGGCTCAGCTCACAAATTTCATCAGTGAAACGGCGTTGTTACTAGGTTTTGCAGTGAGAGTGACAACATCGCGCCGTG